AGTTTTAAAAGTTTTAAAGGATAACAAGAAGAAAACTACTACAAGTGTTAGTTGTTCAGCTGTGTCCAACTCTGCAAGCCCATGGACTGTAGCGTGCTTCTGTCCATGGAATTCTCCAGTCAAAAGTACTGGACTGGGTAGCCTTTCCCGTCTCCAGGGGATCTTCCCAACCCAGGGATCAAACCCAGGTCTCCTGCATCGCAGGCAGATTCTTTACCATCTGAGCCAGCAGGGAAGCCCGCAGTGGTGACCGATCCACCTGCCAATGGAGGAGACAGAAGAGACTTGGGTTCAATCCCTGGTGGGGAAGAAGATCCCTTCGAGAAGGAAATGGCAACCCACTCCAGTATTCCTGCTTGGAAAATTCCAGACAGAGGAACCTAGCGCGATACCATGTGTGCATGGACACACACACACACAAACACACACGTTTTAAAGCAGAAAGGTTCAAGTGAGCCAGTAAAACCCCCAAAAGAGAAGTTCCCTTTACCTGAGACCTCCTATCTCAAGCTGAACACATTTTAAACAAATCTGTATTTTGGACACTGCTGTTCTACCAACAATTTCGGTGGGCCAGGGGCTCAGCACTTGATTCCAACACAACCTCTTAGTTAGAACATCTCATTCTTTATGCTCACTTTTTCACTTCAGAGATACCAAATCAATGTAGAACTGACTTTTATATGGGTCCCAAGCCAAATACACTCCTACTTGAGAACACTATCTTCTATTCAAGTAATTGCATTATCTATAGTACCATCTGACCAAACAGCACAGAAACATACATGGACTGATAATCTGGTGAAAATGCACTCAGCATTAACAAAACTACAACAATGTATTCACATATCAGACATATATTGGAAGACATCTTCATGACTCTAAGTGCTTTAACTGTCCTCTGAAGCCCAGTGGAACCCAAGCGAGAGAGCTTTTAAATTCTAGGCAGATATACACTGTATAGTGAAGTGAAAGTTGCTCAGTCGTATCCAACTCTTTGCGACCCCATGGACTATACAGTCCATGGAGTTCTCCAGGGCAGAATACTGGAGTGGGTAGCCGTTCCCTTCTTCAGGGGATCTTCCCAACCCAGGGATTGAACCCAGGTCTCCCACATTGCAGGTCGACTTTTTACCAGCTGAGCCACAATGGAAGCTCAAGAATACTGGAGTGGGTAACCTATCCCTTCTCCAAGGTATCTTCCCGACCCAGGAATTGAACCAAGGTCTCCTGCATTGCAGGCGGATTCTTTACTAGCTAAGCTATGAGAGAAGCCCTATAAACTGTATGGTGTAACAATTAAGTCAAGGTACCTTCCTTTAAACAAACATAAAATCCATATTATAAATCATCATTTCTCAGTTATATAACCTTGGATAGTAAGTTCTTTAAATGCTCTGTACCTCAGTTTCCTCATTTAAATGTTGATACTACTTATCTCTAGCACTAAATGAGTTATATTTATGTAGAATTTAAAACATTGCCTGAATAATCACACAAGAAATCCTTTTATGCCTGTTGTACTCATCTGTACCCTCTTTACTTGAGACAATATTTTCAAAGTAATTAATCAACTCTTCAAAATTATGACCCCCTTTTCCAATAAAAATCAAAATGTATAAAACTTCTGAACAAGTAAAAATATATCAAACTATGTAGCAGTAGAAAGCAGAGTTGGTAATCAGAACTAACTTCGGGTTGAGACCACTTGGCAAGTCCAGCAATGTGATCTACTGGTCTGCAGCTAAAGTACTAAGTAACTTACAAGAGTGAAAACAGCAATGCTCAGGTTCTAATCCCTACCCTGCCCAACTTATTCAGATGGAATTAGTATGAAATGGGACTTAGTATTAGCATAATTTTAACAAATTTCTTTATGTGAAAGAAATTCTTTTATAGACACTCTTCTATCTCCCACTTTCCAGCCCTCTTTTTCTTGAGAACACTCATAACAACTCAACAATTTATATCAAATAACCAATTTGCCTGTTTGGCTCATGATAATAAGATATATGTCCAAATAGGAGCTAAAATTTTACTCAAAGCACCAACTAAGAACATAAGCAATTACAGATTTGATTAGACTTGAGGATATGGATAGATTGATCATTATTTCCTAAACTGATTCAGATTCATTGCCTCTTTCATTAATATTTCAAATTATCAAGCAGAAAACAAAGTAAGCAAAGCAATTTTTTATTTTGACATCTTCATACCTTTAAGTCAAACAGATTCTACCTTTTTTAGCCACTTTTCCTACAAAAGGATATTGTACTGAATACATCTGGTAGAGTTCAGAATCAGTCATCTCAAGGCAATATGGGCAAGTTGAGTAAGTAATAAAACAAGCAATAGTATTGTGGATTAAGTTAGTTCTGGTACACGTGTGGGGGTGGGGGGTGGTTTTTTTAATCACTAGATGACAAGGACAAACGTGTCACATTTAGAATCAGTTTAACAATTTTCCCTATCAATAGGTCCAGTATCAAAAACAGGTACTTTACAACAGTAAAACTTATAAAAATTTTCAGACTGGTATGAAAGGGCAAACCTTCTTATAAAGTAAAAGGCCCATTTTAGATCTGCGCCATTAATCTGAACCCAAACAACTTCGAAATAAGCCTCAGACATCAGTCCCAGAAGGTCACTGTAAACCTCATTTACCTCCTGTCAGCTTTAAATAAGTTATTCTAAATATAAGGCTTTTCCTTTATCCAATCAAAGGTAAGGTGTATTACGTCCTAAGGAAAATAAGTATAGAAGTAGTTATTAAAGCTAACAACAAAACAGGACCTAAAATACTAATTTGAAGTATTTTTGATGCCACCTACTTTCAAAAATGACAGATTTCGTTTTCCAGCTCAGCTCTCCTGAAATCAGATAAGCAGTGTAAGTCGTGAGCTTTTAAAATGCAGTCCTTACTGAACCCACAATCAAAGAGAATAAAATTGGGGCTCCTTGTGGACATCACGTGCCCGGCTCTTTCTTCCTCCAAAAACCCAGCCCTCCCCTACAGGCCTTCATTCCCCGCCTCCTTTCCCGGCCTCTTTTTTTTTTTTTTTTTGAGGGCAAAGCATGAAGCAGTGATGAGGCAGCAGGCTACAAACCTGGCTCAGTACGTTTACTTGTGCGTTTCATTTCACCCCATACCTCCTCCACCATAACGTTAAAAACCAAACAGCTAGTTAAGTATCTTACAGTGGGAACGTGAATAGAGGAACCACCAGTAAGAAAGCAATAGAAGCCTTCGACTTATTAAAGACACTGCAGGCCAAATCCTTCACCTCCACTGTTCAGGAGTCGACTAATTACGACCGATGCTTCCCAAATTAAAAAACCCTGATGAAGATACCCATCCTAATTCTAATTTGTAGTTGAGAGGACACAAAAAAATCTCTTGTTAGTAACAGCTAATGTAAGTGCTTTACACGCGATAATTCTTAAAATTCTAGCAGTGAAGGCCCCGCTCCTTCATCCATCAGGCTAACATTCACGCTTTCTTGCGGTACCTAAAAAGATTAAGATCAAAGAGAAGCAGGGAAGAGTTGGAAACCCAAGAGCTGGACTGATTGGCTCCCTGCTCACCCTCGCATCCCACCACCTCCTCAACTTTCAGTGGAGGGTTACCAGACAGGGGTCTGCACCCGCGCCCGGGCCGGGGCCACGTGCAGAGGGAAGCTGCGGGGGTTCCCCTCCCTGCCGGGTCGCCGCCTCCCGGGGGCGGGCAGCCCGGAACCTCACCGCCTCCCCGCCCCTCCCCGCCCCGGGGCCTGGTCCCCGCGCAGCCCCTCCCTCCCGTCGGAATTCGCAGCCTCCGCGGCTCCTTCCCTCCCCCCGCGGCCTCCCCTCCGGGGAGTGGGCGTCGCGGCGACGGCGGGCTGCAGACCCCGACTCGGGCCCGGGCGCCTCCCGGCTCCCAGCGGCGCGGCCGCCTCCCCGCTCCGGGCGCCCGGGCTTCGCCAGGGCCGCGCCCTCGCCCGCGCAGAGAAGCCGGCGGGGCTCAAAGGGCCCCGGAGCGGACCCTCCCGGGCCGCGCCGACGCTCCTCCGCCCCACGCGCCTCCCGGTCGGCTCCCTCGGAAAGCGTCGGCCGAGCCGCGGGCCCTCTCCGCCAGCGGGGTCGCGGCTCCTACAGCGGTTCGGGCTCCGGCCTCCGCGGACGGCCCTGGAGGCCCAACTCGCCGTCCCCAGCCCCCTCACCCCTCCGCTCACGCGGGCCGCCCGGGACCTCCACGTCCCTCCCTTTCCCGTCGGGCCCCAGCCCGTTACCGGTGTCGAGCGCGGGGAGCCAGGCGGCCCGAGCTGCGCAGGCAGTGACTCAGGGCGGCGGCAGGAGGAGCAGGAGGCGGCGCCGCGAGCAGATGGCGCTAAAAAAGACCCGAGAGCCCGCCGCTCGCGCTCATATACAATCAGCGTCAGCACGCAGGGCCCGCTCCGCCGCCCGCCCCCCGGCCTCACCGTCTCCTAGCGACGCGACTGGGAGGCGGGGCCAGGGCCGGTCGCCTAGCAACGGAGCCTTCCTCCTTTCCCCCGGCGACCTCCAAACTCGCAGCGCCAGACTTGGGTTCCCGCCTCCGCCCCCTACGACGCCTCCAGCCATCTCTTTTCTACGCTCTTAGCTAGAGAGGAACTCGCCGCCCCTTCCGTTCCGGGCTAGGGCCCTGACCCTAGCCTCGCTCACGGCCCACCTCGGCCCCCGCCCCCTCACCCCGCACCCCCGCCTAGTACCGGGAAGGATGAGGGCGGGAGGCCAACCTCCGGGTCCTGCCTAGCCGCATCCTGATAGCGAGCGCTCTTTAGTTCCCTACCTTGTCGGGGCCTAATTCCTACAAACTCTCCGATCCCGGGTAACCGTTTCCTCTCCCCGCCCATTTTTCACCATGAGAACAACAGTTCTTTCCTCCCAACCGCCTCGGCGGCGTCTTTTGCCGGTTTTGCTTTTCCTAATTCAAACCGTGGCTTCTGGGGATGCTCTTCATTCCAGCTTCTCCGTCCTTTTACCTGACTCGCGATCCCTCATCTCTGCTTTCGTATGTTTGATGGATGAAAACGGCATGTTCGTGTATGGTCTGGACGCTTTATAATGAGGACAGTGTTGTTTCCTCATTTTGAAAAAGTAAATCCAACCTCATGGCTATTTTCAATTGAAGCTGGACTGACTAATACTAACTCTTAAGACAGTGGTTCTTAAAGTGTGGTCGGAGGGTTTCAGTACTCTTTCAACGGGAAAGTCAAAAGTATTTCCATAATTCTAAAATGTTATTTGCTTTGACACTCATTCTGTCATAATTATACAGTGGAGTTTTCCAGAGGCTACATGACATGAGATATGGAAACACTGAAAACAGAAGCAAATATTAGAATCCAGTCATCTGCTGCTCAGCCAGACGTTAAAGAGATTTGCAAAAACATAAAATCACTCTGCTCAATTTTTTCATTTTGGAAAGTAGTTTTCATATAAAAATTTATTCTCTGTTAACATTTAATCGGTTTGTTGTTTAAAATGAAATAATAACTACTCATTTCTTAATTTCAAATATGATATAGTTATCTTTAATGCACATAAAACTTCTTTGGAGTCCTAAATTTTTAAGAATATAAAGAGGTCCTTGAGATTAAAAACTTTAACAACGCTTCTCTGTTGTAGTCCTTGAAACTTCGAACTACTTAGAGTCATCTATTGTAACTAACCCAATTCCACTTTAGAGGATACAGGGCTTTTCCTCAGTGCTCCCAACCTCACTGAAACTAGTTGCCTTTCCCACTCTATGCTACAGATGCCTCGGTTTATCCATCCATTTTGGTTCTTCACATGTGATTCTTTTGGCTTCTCAAACATCTGTCTTCATTGACATTCTACTCGACAGTGATGTAAAACTCACAAGGATTATAATAACATCAGTAATGACTCCTCAAGAAGAATCTACAATATACAGGATAGGTAGACCAGTGCGCAGTATGTCAGTACTCTTGGCACTGATTTCTATGGCGACCTCAAGAGCAATGCAGTCTGAAGTGAAATTCGTTCAGTCATGTCCGACTCTTTGCAATCCCATGAGTACTGGAGTGGGTAGCCATTCCCTTCTCCAGGGGATCTTCCCAACCTTGGGATCGAACCCAGGTCTCCTGCATTGCAGGCAGATTCTTTACTGTCTGAGCCACGGGGGAAAAGCTAAATAACTTGTACCTCTTTTCCATAACCTTTTGTGGTTTGACCATCTGAGACCAAATTGAAGTTAGCCTTCGAGATGGCTTCCATCCCACTTTTGGGAACCCCACCAATTTCAGCCACTGAACTAAGGCTCGTAATTTCTGACACTTCAACTCCCACCCCCTATTCAAAAGATTATCATTACCAGTTTATGTTCCCTCCCTTCCCTTTTCTCCAGCTCCTTCCTCCAGTTTCCCCCTCCCTTTTCTTTCAGTTATCCTAGCCAGTCTAAGAAATGAAATGCTAATAGATCGCTAATGTGATCTTTTGAACCACAGTTTGTAAATCTAAACCTCTACCATTTAAGCCCAGAGAAGGGCAATCATTTAGGCAGTCATTCAGCAAATATTTGTCAGGAACAATTTGAGACACTGGAAATACAGCACTGAACAAGAAAGACATGATTCTTAATTTTACTGAACTTGTGTTCTGGTGAGATGGGGCAAGTGAAGACAAGTAATGAAATAATGTTACGTATTAGTAAGTGAAAGAGCTGTGGAGAAAATAAAGACATAAATGGGTAGAAGGTGACTGATCTGAGCATCAGTTCAGTTCAGTCGCTCAGTCTTATCCAACTCTTTGAGATCTGATAAACCACTGAGCTTTTCAGGTGGCTTTGACCAGGCCCTGGAATCACACAAGGTAGTTAACTCATGTAATTTATTTACAAAAAATGGTGGCTCTGGTCACTGATCTTGGATCATGCAAAACTTTTTATTAGAGTTTCTTTTTTCTTCATTCCCCATTATTTTCACTTGATGGATGCTTACAGCATTGTAGCCCAGTGGTTTGGAAGTGTGACTTTGAAGTCACATATCCGATTTTATCCCTATTTTATTGTGAAATGTTAAACAGCGTGTAAGTTGCTTGACCTGGCACCTGATGGATACTAAACATTCCATAAAAGTTAAACATTATAGACTTCTTACTGAGGTTTTGTTTTATTTAAAAGTTGAAGGAACTATCCTAAAGTGTAATCATATCTGACTCCATTTTTTTGCTGACTATTTTATCAAAGCTATCTTGTCACAAATTTGAAAACATATTTTCCTGAGCTGAAATAATCCACACTAGAAAAGTACTATATTCCACATTTCTAAATACTGGATATAGAGACTGTAGAGCTCAACCAGACAAATCAGTGACAGAGATGCTGTCTTAAACGTGCTTGTGTCTGGAACTGTCCCTAAGTCATAGGACAGTACACAGGTTTGAAAGACAGGCTTAGCTTCATCCTAACACTGTGACCTCGCAAAAGTACTTATACATTCTGACCCTTAGGCTTCCTCATCTGAAAAGTGTATGAATAATTCTAATAAAATGTGCCATTTTGACAGCATCAAATAGCAACTATATGTAAGCCCCCACCCCAGAGCAATGATTGCATTTAAGCCCTCAAATGTTTATTTTCTTTCCACACAATCAATATGTAAAATATGTAATGGCACCAATCATAATTATCATTTAAAAACTGCACATTTTAGTACCATATCTTAATTTTGAATCTGGTTGGTTTTCCTTTTTTCCAAACTATAGAACTGCAACATAAAGTCAACCAAACTTTCAGTGAGGAATTGTGGAAAAGTTGCCTTAAATCTCCCCTCTACATCCAAAAGAGGTTATCTTTATTTTGCCTTTTTTTTTTTTTTTTGGCTACACCAGGTGACTTATGGGATTTTCAGTTCCCCAACCAGGGATCAAACCCGGCCCCCTGCATTGGAAGCTCAGAGTCTTAACCATTGAAGTAGCTGTAGATTAACTCACGCTTGTATAAAATAATCCATGTAAACTTTACCCAGTTTCCCACAATGGTAACAACAATCCACAATCTTATTCAGATTTCCTCAGTTTTACTTCAATCCACTTGTGTGTATTTGGTTGTACACAATGTTATTATGTGTAAGTTTCTGCATCACATCAGGCAAGATACAGAACAATTCCTTCACCACAAGGATACCTTATGTTGTTCTTTGACTCTTTTTTTCTTTTCTTCTTCTTCTTTTTTAACTCACATGCTAAATAAAGTTCTACTCTCCCAGATATTACTTTTTCCCTTGTTTCAAGGGAAATGACAAGTTAATGAGAAAACTTTCTCAACTTGGTGAGAAAACAGGCCATGTCTGTGTTCAGTATTTCTTACCTGAACTGTATGTAATAGACTTGCAATTGGTCTCCATTACCAATCTCATCCCCCTCTGGCCTAAATGCCAAAGTTATGGTTCTAAAACACAAATCTAATAAAGTCAACTTTTTAATAAAACCTTTAATGGCTCTTTGATGCCTGCATGACAAAATAAACCCTGCAAAGCCCATCCAGATCAGAATCATCCTATTTTTCAAGCCACATGTCCCACTACCTACCTTCATGAACCTCATATTTCATGATTTTGAACTACGCAGTAGACCCTCAACATGAGGAGTGTTTCTATGCCTTCTCCTCTCCCCTTCTATTAATCCTTCAATAGGGTAGTTCAAATCTTTATCTCCTGTGAGGAATCCTTCCTAACTCACCAAAGCTAATCTGGCTGCACTCCCTCGTCTGTTTTCAGACAGCTCTTTCCTGTATGTATGTCTGTATGTTCCCGTGTTTCCTTCTCCCGCATACACGCCACAGCAGAGCAGGCCATGGCTTTGTTTGTGTATACACTTTGCTTGAACAACGACTACTACAGGCAAAGACTTTCAATAAATATTTTTGGGGGAGATTCAATGAAAGGAAAGAAGCAAGGAGGAAAGAAAGAGAGGGAGGGAGAAAGGAAAGAAATGTTATTGAAAACAAAATAGAAGTCATAATATTTTCATCCTTTTTTGAGGACAACTGCAGCATTCCTACATTTATCATGGAGTCTATGTGAGAAAAGTTGAGAATCTAGTCTATGCAAGAAGATTTTTAGATATGCTTTGGATATTGTTTGAATATTTGTTTAGATATTATTTTCCCTCGTGTATGAAATAACTTGATGATGAAAAGAATGTAAAGAAATACTGAGATCTCCGAGATCATAATGAATAAAGAGAATAAATTTCATGGTATTATTTGAAGAAAGTTGGAGTGTCTGTCATTGGGGGAATTGATAGTGAAATGTGGTTGATGCCCATCATGGAGAATTATACAGGAGAACATGGGATGTGGTATGGCAACAGGAATGAATCTGTAAAACGCAGTGCTTGCAAAATAAAAGTCACAGTTAGGGGAATTTCTTCTTGGTGGTCCAGGGGTTAGGAGTCCGTGCTCTCACTGACAAGAGCCGGGTTTCAATCTCCGATTGGGGAACTAAAATCCCACAAGCCATACAGTGTAGCTAAACATAAAATAAAATAAGATTGAATAAATAAAACCACAAGTAGATACTATTACACACCTATTAGAGTTGCTCAAATAAAAAAAAAAACTGGTAATACAAAGTGCTGGTATATACGTGGAACAACAGGAACTCTCATTTATTGCTGGCATGAATGCAGGATGGTACTGTCGTTAAGTCACTTTAGCAGCTTCTTATAAAATGAAATATACACTCACCATATGACCCAGCTTTCTCATATCTAGGTGTTTATCTAAGTAAATTGAAAACTGCTCATGCACGTACACACACGCATTCGGAGGTGAATATTTATAGCATCTTCATTCATAATTGCAAAATACCAGAAGCAATAAAGATGCTTTTCCACAAGTGAATCAATAAATACTGCTACAAAGGAATACCACTCAGAAATGAAAAAGAACAATCTACTAATTTACTCAACAATATGGATGAATCTCAAATGCATTGTTGCTAAAGTGAAAGAAGCCAGATTCAAAAGGTTACATATTATGTAATTCCATTTATATGGCTTATGGAAAAGGC